AGAGGGAGAAGCAGGCTTCCCGCGGAGCAGGGAGCCCGATGCGGGGCTCGATCCCAGGACCCCGGGACCATGACCTGAGCCGAAGGCAGACGCTAAACGACTGAGCCACCCAGGCGCCCCGGTGCAGCCTCTTTTAAGGATGGTGGGCTAGGTGGAGGGTTTTAAAGTCAGTAAATGAGGCAAGTTTGCATCTTGGAGGAGGACTAACAGTGAATGAGTCTTGGACAAAGGCTGTAAGAATCTATTAATCTGCTCAGAAGTTCCCTAGAAGGCTCTTTCCAGTGTCAAAGTATAAGTAATAGGTAAATAATATTATCTAAAACCTTTTTTCTGAATGATCTCACTGCAACCTATCTGTAATTATTAGGTCATTCCATAGTTAGCTAATTTTTAACATAAGCTTTTCAAAAGCTTTAACCTCTTACCATTGATCTTTTACATTCAAAAAATGAGTATTTCAGAGCTTTGCAGTTTCCTTCCTTCAGACACTGTCGAGGGGATTTTCCTTCCTAGGACACAGAAAACAGTGTAAATACCTGGCAGATTTCCTCACAAAGCACAAAATCACTTTCCTTTTGAAAGCAGTGCTTTTTGGAAAAAAAAAATTTAAAAAGTAAATTATATGAGAAAATATTTTGTAATTCATTTTGACTATTGATGTTTAGGGAGAACAGGATAGAATAAAAAGATGTATCAAGTAATTCTGGAGCACTTCAGTTCTTGAACACACTAGTGTCCATGGGATAATTTTCTTTAAAATGTTTATATAAAAATCTTGAAACCGGTATTTTTAGCTCCTTACGGGTAAGAAAGAGAAAGAGCAAAAGTGAAAGTAGTAATGGGATTTCTTCAGTGGTTTTAAATTTTTTTATACTTCAGAATTCCTCAAGACAGAAGAAAGTAGTGTGTGTGTGAGAGAAGGAGAGAGAGTATGGGTATATGTGTACGCATGCACGTGCATATGAGAAATCAGGCCTGCTCTAGTGGGAAACGGGACGGTTTGTTCTGGAAGGTCCTATCAAGTGGCTTTAAAAAGCCTCCAGTTATATCCTTTTAATGCAAGCCATTTTACCTCCAGCGCATCTCTTCATTTTCCCACCCCAACACCCCCCAAAAGTCAAGTTCTCTAGTCTGAGAAGCACAACCGAGTGGAATTGGAAGAGGAAAGGGAGATGTGAACAGAACTTACATATATTTGTGAGAGAAGATCTGCCTGGGCCTGATGTGGAATGAACTCTTTAAGCAGTGAAAGTTCAAAAGGAGGTTAAGAAGAAAAGTGGACTAAGCCTTTCCCTTTCTGCCGTTAAGGTAGGACGCTGCTACAAGAACACTCACAGGAGAAATGCTTATTTCTGATTCTTAAATAATAACAGTTTTTAAACTATAACTTAAAAATTAGACTTGACAAAGTAACAACTGCAAAACTAGGTAAGAGCTAAAATTTAGTTATTTTTTTCAAGGTAAATATGGAATAAAAATTTTAATACTACCTCTTCATGATCTTAAAATATTTTGAAGAAATACACTGCTGTATATATAACGTAACACAACAGCAGTATGTTGAAACATGGAAGCATCTACAAATAATATACTTCACAATTCAGAACGGCAAGATTAAAATTGAATTGCAGCAAAATTTCTTTTTGGATGCCCTATCCTGCTACGTTGCCTATTCACTAAACCCTCAAGGACTAACTTATTTAAAAAAACAAAAACAAAAAACTCAGAATGGTTCTAGATCAGTTAAAGGGAGGTTAAAAAAAATAAATCCTAGCTACTCCTGCCTAGACAGGGCTTTATTTTTTTTATTGTTATTTTTTCCTGCCTAGACCAGGCTTTTAAAGCCAGGTAGCAAAGAAGGTGTATGTGTACAAATGCTGCTTGGCCGTGTGGGCACATCACAAAGCAGAGAGGAGCGCTGGGGGGGTGGAGAGGGAGAGACTGGGACAGGTGCGAAAGGGGTCTGGTTCCCAGGAATGCAAATATATAAAACAACATCTGGAAAAAGTAGTCTGAACTTAAGTGTTCTGAATTATCTGAGGTTTAATGAGATCCAACTGTGATATGCAATTTGTGAAGGAAAAAGAATCAAAACCTTAACATTATTTTCATTGAAGAAATAAGACATGTACTGCTTATAAACAGCCTTAGGCAGTGCTTGGCAGTATAAATGAAAATGATGAATGCTTCCTACTCAAGGTGAGTTTCAGTGTAAAATGGGTCAAGCAGTTTTGTCTGAAAATAAAAATGACCCTGTTCAGTGTTAATTTTAAAAGCTCACCAGCCAGAATTAGGTGCCCTAAAATCAGAACATTTTTAGTGTGGTACTGAACACCAGATGTTAATAAGGAACCTAGAATACTTGCTACTTAAATAGAAACATCTGGTGCGTTCATGCACCAGGAAAAACGTAACCCCAATTTCACCTGCTTTTCATCATCAGGGATTTCCCTTCAAGCAGATTCTGACACCTCAACCCCACCCTGCACCCACTCCTCCAAACCTTTATCTTGCAAGTGCCAGTCACACTTCTAGTTTTTACTTGTGAAAAACACTCCAGGGTACCACATCTGTGGCATTCCTGATCCTCTGGAATCTTGCCACTTTCTAGTCTGTCTGCTTAGGTTCTTGATTTTAATGGTCACCTACCATTAAAGTGAATCTCAAAAGTGAATCAGAACAGAGTAGCAAGCTTCCTCGCACTATGTTCCTCCCCAAAACTCTGTCATGAGATGTTGCTGATGGGATGTGTGTTGCCCACATGAACGATATGAGGGCAGATGAGAGTAAATAAAACTATACAAAAGACTAGAACTATAAAGTGATGCTTCCCCAAACTGTATCTAAGATGCCATCTTTTTCTTAAGTTTTCACGCCATACTGCCACCTGCCTATGGGAAGATCCAGCTACATACACCAAATCTAAGAGCGATAGGTTAATTCATCCGCCTTCACCTCCATGCCAAATGGCAGACTGCTAGCTGTCCCTTAACCTTTAACTCTTCCTTTCTAGTGGGGCATATGGCTGGGCTAGATTTCCCAGACACCCTTGCAACTAGGTGTGGCCATATGACTAAGTTCCAGCCAATGGAATATGAGGAACTGAAATGTAAAACTTCTGGGTTGGTCCTTAAAGGCAAGTGGCTGTCTTCCTCCCTCACTTCACACCATGATGTCTTAGGCAATCTTGGATCACGAGTGTGAAAATAACATCCTGTCTCCCATCACAGCACCTAAAACCACAAGATCAACAGTGTCTGCGTCTACGGAAGGCTGAGAGGAGCTGTCTAGGCCCTACTTATAAGCACACACACAGCAAAAGAGAGAATTTGCTATCTTGTTTAAGGCAATGTTATTTTGGGTTTCTGTAATATGTACCTGAACCTATATCCCAACCAATACACTTCCAGGCTTATTTGCCTTCTGAGGTCAAGATTAGCGATTCCCAAACATGGCTGTGCCCAAGAATCAAAATGGGATACTTTTATGGGGGGGAGGTACTGAAATCTATACTTTTAAGCTCTCTGCCCCCATCTCCAGGTAATTCTGATGAAGTCAGAAGATCTGGGAGCTTGCTAATGGAGGCAAAAAGGAGATAACCTGTGACTGAGGTTTCTTGGGCATAGTTTTGATCTTTTTGATCCTCCAGGAGTCATAAAACCCTAAGAAGTCTACCCAAGAGTTGCCTTTTGAATCTGCTTGTTCCTTACTTCTCCTCTCGAGCCCCACTGGGGTAGACATCCTTATCATCATTACCCTGAGCTTCTCCAAGGCCCTACAGTTCCTTGACTATTTCCCACTGCAGCACCTATTTTGAATTCCTCCCTAGAGTGAGGTCAGGCAGCTTTTCCGGTGGTTTAAAGATTGGCAAGGAGAGACTACAGCATCCATCTGCCAAAAGATCAGATTAACTTCTTTTTACAAGGAGCTAAATCTTACATAAATGAAGTGGTCATACAGGGCACAGACCTCAGCAGAATGTCCCTTGGTCTTCAGAGTCCCTAGGAGGGGAGTGGTAGGCTGCCAGTGACACCATCTGAGAAGATGGGATATTGTCCTGGATCTGCAAAACTCAATGTTTTGCCTCAGTACTGCCATTTTATACTCCACCTGAAGTCAGGGTGAATTTAACACAAACTGTAAACACTCCCATTTAAGGTACTTTTTATAAATACCATGTTCTCCTAAATGACCAACATCAATTAAGGCCACACACTCAACTGGGTAAAGCAAAGTCTGTGCTGTGTGTTCTGGTCATTATCTTGCCTAGTTTTCTAGCTTTCCGGAGATCTAATTTCCATGCAGGAGGGAATATATCCCAATCGTCTGTGTGTCCCGAATTAGAGCTTGGCACTTAAAATGTTTGCTAAATAAATTATTACAAAAAAGAAACTTGGTATCCTTCTTGCCCTCAGTATCCTCCTCCATTTCTAGAGTTTCTTTCCTCAGTCCCACTGTGTACTTTATTCTCTTGATTGCTCATCTCCATGGCCTTCCTGATGCTGAATGTCAGGATAAATCCAGGGCCCCCACTCTAACACACAAGGGCCTTTACACATGACAACCTTCTTCTCAAGCCTTCTGTCACATTCCCTATCCCCCTGGCCCAAAAGGGCACTAGCTTCTCCTGGTCACGTCTCCCTGACTTGCCCATGTTATTCTTGTTCTTGAGCTTCTCCCCTCAACCACATTCTCCACTCTTACTTGATAACCTACTACTCAACCTTTAAGACTCAGATCAAACGTCACCTCCTCTGTGAGAACTTTCCAAATTCCCAAGCAAAAAATTTGCTCTCCACTTCCCACAGCATTTTGTGCCTAAATCTAATCATCAAACAAATATTTACTAGATGCTTACACAACCCGTACTGCAGGAATTTAGCCCCTTCCATGTCTGTCCTTCCCATCAGACTGAGTTCATGTAGGACAGTGACTGTCACCAACTCATCTTAGTATCACCAAGGCCTGGCATCATGCCTGCCACTTCCCAGGCATTACTAAGAGCTGACTGAATACTTGCACCAGTGAAGCAGCAGATTGGAAACAGCCCTGCACAGGGAGGCGTGAAGACAAGGCACCTCAGTTTCCTCATCTGTGTGAGAGGGACTAGAGAACGTCCTAAATTCATAACAACTCAAGTTTTATGACAAACGGGGCGGCCAGTCTGGCTGACTGCTACAATCAGTGAACCAAACGTAAATCACGAATCAGTAGAAACACTGATACAGCATTACGATGGATGTCCATTTTGGGCTGGTTGTCTTTCCTTTGAAGTAAGAGCAAACTTCTGAAATTACATCTCCAAATGCAAAAAATAATTGCACACAACTGCCCCCTCATTGCAAAAAATAATTGCACACAACTGCCCCCTCATCAGGCTTCTGTAATTGAAAAAGGCACTTGGCGTTTCAGTTGGGCGCTAAGCTAGAATCCAGGTCCCCAGTCAACTTTGGACCTTACTGCTTGCCACTCTGCACTCAGATTGAGAAGACGTGGTTGTAGTGAGGGGAAAGTATAGTGCAAGCAAGAGACAAAAGAGTAGGAAAAAAAAAAATGGAGCTGCTACGTTTACAACTTATCCAAGAATGTATATAACTCCGACTAAGACACAAATTCAAACCAAGAGAAAGTAAATAGAGTATATATTCAGCCACAACTGAACGGAGAAAGGAGAAACTACTAGTCAATACAATGTTCCAGGTTTATGTAATTCTCTGGTAATTTAGTCACATTTTCTAGCACGCAAGAAACCGGCCTTATTCTCCTTTATAGCTCCAGAACCTAGCAGAGTAGCAGGCAACATTTAATAAAGGCTTCTTGAATCGAAATGGTTTATCTTTACAAAAACCCAAAGGGGAGGTTTCGTTATCCCCAATTTAACACCGGAGGGAGCTGAAACTCCGAAAGCTGATTTGCCTAAGTTCATTAAACTGAGTCACGTCTCCAGACAGCCACCGTAGGCTGAGCGGGAGAAGTCCGCCGGGCCCTGCCTCCCCGGTTCCGGCGTTTCATCACCCTGGGCGCCCGGCCGCGCTACCTGGAGCACACAGTCCGACTGCAGCAGACATGCGCCCAGGTCCTCCTTCACGCCCGCGCACGCGCCGCCCTCCGGCTTGTCCTCGTAATACCGGGGCATGACTGTGCCTCCCGCCCCAGCGGCCGAGACCCGCTTCCGTGCGCAATGGCTGCAACCCTGCTGAGGCGCAAGCGACACGCGCGGAGGACAGGAACCGGAAGCCCGCAGCAACAACTTCCGGCTGGCCCCCGGAAAACTACGGGGCCCGAAAGGCCGCGCGCGCGGCGGAAGTGGGCGCACGTGACGCGTCGCGCCCACAGCGCCGGCTACGTTGTGCGGAGGGAAGTGGGCCCGGCGGCTGCTAGGCTTGGCTGCTGGGCGGAGGTGGCGCGCTAGCTTGGACCCCTTGGAGGCCGCCGCGGGGCTCCAGGTGAGACCTGAGGACCGCTCCGTCCGTTCGCGGCTTGGGCTCGCCCGGCGCCTTTTCGTCCGGCACCTCACGGCCCGACAGCCCACGGCCCTGGAGTGACCATAGCCGGGTCCGGCTGCTCGGTGGGCGGTAGGGTTGCCATATAAATCAAGATGCCCAGTTTTTTTTCACTTGAATTTCACATAAACCACGGTCAACGTTTTAGTGTATGTCCGACACAATGTTTCGGACATGGTTATACGAAAAGTTATACCTGTATCGGAGATTCGAATGTAACTGGGCTACCTGTGTTTTTATTTGCTAAATATGGCAACCTTACCCGCAGCCCCAGGCTGACCCGGAGCCTCTGGACTCGGAGAGGCGCTGATTGGCCTGGGAGGTGGAGGGTGTGGGGCGGGGAAGTGGGCTGTTCGCGAGGGCTGGACGGTGACCTGCTCTCACGGGGCTTCAGATTGATTCCACCGGACTCTTACGCTGTCATTCCCTCTGCTGAACTATTCAGGGAGTAAAGCACTATGGACTTGAGTTTTGTTTTTATATCCCATTCCAGTGAAAGAGTTGCTTGATGGTCTTGCACTGATGGACCTGTGTGAATAGGCCATTTATTTTACCTAATTGGTAACATTGTTTCTAATAGGCTTTTAAAACCGATTCCCTTGAAGACTTGATGGTTAAGAGCAGGGGATTTCGGCTCCATAGCCATCTCTGAGCTCATGAGGGGGTCACTTTACCTCCTAGTGCTTTTCTTTCTCTTTCTCTCCCTCCCCCTTTCCCTCTCTCTCTACTTCCCTCCCTCCTGGTTAACAGTAGCTACCTGGGTGGGCTGCCTGAGGAGAGAAGTGAAGTTTGGGAAACTTATGGACCCTATAGAAGTGTTATGAAGGTTCAGAAGGGTGTGGTGCTGCCCTTGCCTGAAGTGCAGTGGGCAGTTCTTGAGCTCCCAAATAAGCCTCAGAACCACCTCCATTAGCTTTTGACCCCTGACTCTTATCAAGGATTGTGGAAGAAATGTAAGATGACATCCCTCCTAAATATCTCAGAAGAGGTTGTTGGCAGCCAATAGTTTCTTAAGATTACTTTTAAAAGAATTTTTTTCTTCCACCTAGGAAGATGTTACCAAGTATTTCAGTGAATTCTCCAGTGCAGGGGAACGGAGCGTTGAACTCCAGGGATGCAGCAAGACACACAGCTGGAGCAAAACGCTACAAATACCTGAGAAGACTTTTTCGTTTTCGGCAGATGGACTTTGAGTTTGCTGCATGGCAGATGCTCTACCTATTTACTTCCCCACAGAGAGTTTATAGAAATTTTCATTATCGAAAGCAGACAAAGGATCAGTGGGCCAGAGATGACCCTGCTTTCTTGGTCCTGTTAAGTATTTGGCTCTGTGGTAAGTGTTAGTTTGTCTACAGTAGAGTTGAAGAACAAACTGAGTGGCTTTTTTTTAAGGACTTTATTTATTTATGTGAGAGAGAGAGCGCGAGTGAGCACGAGCGAGCACAAGCAGGGGGAGGGGCAGAGGGAGAAGGAGAAGCAGGCTTGCTGCTGAGCAGGGAGCCCCATGCTGGGCTTGATCCCAGGACCCCGAGCCCAAAGGCAGACGCCTCACCGACTGAGCCACCCAGGCGCCCCCAAACTGAGTGTTTTAGATTGTACTTGTCACTTGCAGAATCTTTTGTTATATCGTGGGTCAGAATTTGGGATATTTGAAGCTGTCCTTCCTTTCTGAAGCCTCAAAAATCTCACAGGAAAGAATGTTGTATTCTTTCTGGTTCTAAAGGTCCCAAGCGGATGCCAGAGTAAATTGTTTCCTCGGAATTTTGAAAAGCAGAGGACAGAGTCACTCCATGTCTTTTAACTGCTGTGATAAATAAATTGATACCAAATGCAAACTTACTGTGAAAAGGAATATCACGATGGGACATTGCATTTCACAGGCAAATCTAGAGTGAGTTCTAAAAGTACCGATGTGAACTTGAGAAACTACTTTTAAGTTCTCCAATAATGTAGTGAGAGAGTCCTAACCACCCTAGGGTGTAAATGTGTAAGATTTTTTTTATCTTTATCTGGACTTAAATATGTGAATGCCTGTTCAGAATTAGTGGTCTTTTAAATGTTGGGACTACCCTGGGGAACCACAGACGGGGGCCTCTACAGTAAACTACAGTTAGTTCAGTAGCCATTCTGTGTTCTAGGGTAGTCTGTATTTCTCAATTCTATATACATATAACACATCTTTGGGGTTTTGTTTACATGACTGTTTCCTCCATTACACACGTGGGCATCTGAAGGGCAGGGACTTGCCCCACTCATATCCCCAGAACCTAGCAGAGTGCCTGAATTTATCATGTAAATCTTTCTTTCAGTGTCCACTATAGGATTTGGCTTTGTTCTGGACATGGGATTTTTTGAGACGATAAAGCTGCTCCTTTGGGTTGTATTCATAGATTGTGTAGGCGTTGGTCTGCTCATATCAACTTTAATGTGGTAAGTACTAGAACTTTGTTTTTTTGTTTTTTTTTTAAGATTTTATTTATTTGCGAGAGAGAGAATGAGAGACAGAGAGCATGAGAGGGAGGAGAGTCAGAGGGAGAAGCAGACTCCCTGCTGAGCAGGGAGCCTGACGTGGGACTCGATCCCGGTACTCCAGGATCATGACCTGAGCGGAAGGCAGCCGCTTAACCGACTGAGCCACCCAGGCGCCCTAGAACTTTGTTTTTTTAAGTACTGCTGTAGAGCCTGCATTTCCTTCCTTTAGAGATACAGTGGCTGATGAAAATTGAAACAAGATATATGAACTGAAAGCATGAATTAAAATTTTTATTTAAGTATAGTTGACATACAATGTTATATTAGTTTTAGGTGTATAGCATAGTGATTTGACAGTTATATAAATTATGAAATGCTCATCAAGATAAGTATAGTTACCATCTGTCACCATACAGTGTTATAATATTGACAATATTCCCTATGCTCTACCTTTTATCTCTGTGTCTGATTTATTTTGTAACTGGAAGTTTGTACCTCTTAATCCCCTCCACCTATATCACCCATTCCTTCAACTCCATCTCCTCTACCAGTTTGTTTTCTATATTTATGAACCTGTTTCTGTTTTTTGTTCATTTTGTTTTTTAGATCTGCATGTAAGTGAAATGATACGGTATTTGTCTTTTCTGACATATTTCGCATACCATTATACCCTCTAGGTCCATTCATGTTGTCATTAATGGCAAGATCTCATTCTTTTTTATGACCAAGTAATATTCCATTGTGTGTGTGTTTTTGTGTGCGTGTGTATGAATGTATATACACCCCATTTCTTCTTTATCCATCCAACTATTGATGGATACTTAGGTTGCTTCCATATTTTGACTATTGTAAATAATGTTGCAGTAGACATAGGGGTGCATGTAACCTTTCAAATTAGTGTTTTCATTTTCCTTGGATAAATACCCAGTACTGGTATTGCTGGATCATATGGTATTTCTGTTTTTAATTTTTTGATGAACCTCCATACTGTTTTCCCACAGTGGTTGCTCCAGATTACATTCCCACCAATAGTGCACAAGGGTGCCCTTTTCTGCACATCCTTGCCAACACTGTTTTTTTCTTATCTTTTTGATACTAGCCATTCTGACAGGTGTGAGGAGATACCTCATTGTGGTTTTGATGTGCATTTCCCTGATGATGAGTGATGCTGAGCATTTTTTCATGGGGTCTGTTGGCCATTTGTATGTCTTTGAAAAAATGTCTATTCTGTTCCTATGCCCATTTTTTAATTGGATTTTTTTTAGTGTTGAGTTATGTAGGTTCTTTATATATTTTGGATACTAATCCTTTATCAGATGTATCATTTGCAAATCTCTTCTCACATTCACTTGGTTGCCTTTTTATTTTGTTCATGGTTTCCTTTGCTATGCAAAGCTTTTTATTTTGGTGTAGTCCCAATAGTTTATTTTTGCTTTTGTTTACCTTGCCTGAGGAGACAGATCCATAAAAATGTTGCTGAGGCCAATGTCCAAAAGATTACTGCTTATGTCTTCTTTAAGAGTTTTATGGCTTCATGTCTCATATTTAGTTCTTTAATCTATTTTGAATTTATTTTTGTGTGTATGGTGTAAGAAAGTGGTCCATTTTCACTCTTTTGCATGTAACTGTCCAGTTTTTCCAACACCATTTATTGAAGAGCCTGTCTTCCCCATTGTATATGCTTTTCTCCTTTGTCATAAGTTAATTGACCATATAAGTGTTAGTTTATTTCTTGGGTCTATATATGGATCTGTCTGGTTTTGTTTTGTGTTTTTTTTTTAGAGAGCATGAGAGCACGCAGGGGTTGGGGGGCAGAGGGAGAGAAAGAGAGAGAGAGAGAATCTTAAGGAGGCTCCATGCCCACGTGAAGCCCAACAGGGGACTTGATCTCATGACCCTGAGATCATGTCCTGAGCCAAAATCAAGAGTAGGTCACTTAACTGACTGAGCCACCCAGGCGCCCCTGATCTGTCTGTTTTTGTGCCAGTACCATACTGTCTTGATCACTACAGCTTTGTAGTATATCTTGATATCTGGATTGTGATGCTTCTAGCTTTGTTTTTTTTCTCAAGATTGCATTGGCTATTTGGGGTCTTTTGTGGTTCCATACAAATTTTAGAATTCTTTGTTTTAGTTCTCTGAAAAATAATATTGGTGTTTTGATAGGGATTGTATTGAACCTGTAGATTGCTTTGGGTAGTATAGACATTTTAACAATATTGGTTCTTCCAATCCATGGTCATGGAGTATCTTTCCATGTGTTGTGTCCTCTTCAATTTCTTTCATTAGTGTCTTAACAGTTTTTAGAGTATAGGTTTTTTATCTCCTTGGTTAAATTTATCCCTAGGTATTTTTTTTTATGCAATTGTAAATGGGATTATTTTCTTAGTTTCTCTTTCTGCTGCTTCATTATTAGTGTATTGAAACACAACGGATTTCTGTATATTAATTTTGTGTCCTGTAACTTCACTGAATTCATTGATTAGTTCTAATATTTTTTTGGTGGAGTTTTTTAGGTTTTCTATATAGAGTATCATGTCATCTGCAAATAGTGACAGTTGTACTTCTTCCTTACCAATTTGGATGCCTTTTATTTCTTTTTCTTGTCTGATTGCTGTGGCTAGGAATTCCAGTACTATGTTAAGGAACAGTGGTGAGAGTGTATGTTCTTCTTTTGTTCCTGATCCTAGAAGAAAAGCTTTCAGCCTTTCACCATTGAGTATGATGTTAGCTGTGGGTTTGTCATATATGGCCTTCATTATGTTAGGTACATTCCCTCTCAACCCATTTTATTGAGAGTTTTTATCATGAACTAATGTTGAATTTTGTTAGATGCTTTTTCTGCATCTATTGACATAATCATATGTTTTTTATCCTCCATTTTGTTAACATGTATTGCATTGATGGATTTGTACATATTGAATCATGCTTGCATCCCTGGAATAAATCCTACTTCATCAAGTGGAATATCCTTTTAATGTATTATTGAATTTGGTTTGCTAATACTTTGTTGAGTATTTTTAGATCTTCGTACATCAAGGATATTAGCCTATACTTTTCCTTTTTTTGTAATGTCTGTGTCTGATTTTGGTACCGGGGTAATGCTGGCCTAATAGAACTGATTTGAAAATTTTCCTTCCTCTTCTATTTTTTGCAATAGTTTCAGAAGAATAGGTGTTAACTAAGAAAATAGGTGTTAACTCTAGGTTTCATAGAATTCACCCATGAAACCATCTGGTCCTGGACTTTTGTTTGTTGGGAGTATTTTGATTACCAATTCAAATTCATTTACTTGTAATAATATGTATATTCAGATTTTGTATTTCTTCCTGGTTCAGTTTGGGAAGATTGTATATTTCTAGGAATTTATCCATTTCTTCTTGGTTGTCTAACTTGTTGTCATATAACTTTTCATAGTAATCTCTTGTAATCCTTTGTATTTCTGTGGTGTAGGTTGTTACTTCTCTTTCATTTCTGATTTTAATTTATTTGGGTTCTGTCTCTTTTCTTCTCTAGCTGAGTGTCCTATCAATTTCATTTATCTTTTCAAAGAATCAGCTCTTGGTTTCATTGATCTTTTCTATTATTTTTTCAGTTCCTATTTCATTTCTTTTTACTCTGATTTTTATTACTTTCTTACTTCTATTAACTTTAGGTTTGGTTGTCATCTTTTCTCATATCTTTAGGTGTAAAGTTATATTACTTGAAATTTTTGTTTTTTCTTGAGGTATGCCTATTAGAACTTCCTTCTTGGAACTGGCTTTTGCTGTGTCCCACAGATTTTTGGAACATTTTTTTTCCATTTTCATTTGTCTCAAGGTATTTTTTTATTTCCTCTTTGGTTTTGTTGTTGTATTTTAGTAGCAGGCTGTTTAGCCTTCACATATTTGTGGTTTTTTTCCAGTTTTTTTTTTCTTGTAATTGATTTCTAGTTTCATACCAGGTGGTTGGAAAAGATGCTTGATATGATTTCGATCTTCCTAAATTTATTGAGATTTGTTTTATGGGTCAGATGTGATCTGTTCTGGAGAATGTTTTATATGGACTTGAAAAGATTGTGTATTCTTGTTTTGGGATGGAATATTTTGCATATATATGTCTAATATGTTGTCGAAAGCCTCTCCTTCCTTATTGATTTTCTGTCTGGATGATCTATCCGTTGATGTAAGTGGGGTGTTAAAGTCCCCTGTTTTGTATTACTATCAATTTCTATGTTTATGTCTGTTAGTATTTGCTTTATGTATTTGGGTATTCCTATGTTGGTTAAATATAGATATTTGTAATTGTTACATTCTCTTGTTGATGGAACCCTTTATCATTATGTAATGCCTTGTTTTGTCTCTTGTTACAGTCCTTGTTTTAAAGCATATTTTGTGTGAAAGAAGTACTGCCACTCTGGCTTTTTTTTTTTTTTTTTTGGCTTCCATCTGCATAGAATATCTTTTTCCATCCCTTCACTTTCAGTCTGTATGTGTCCATAGGTCTGAAGTGAGTCTTGTCAGCATATAGCTGGGTCTTGTTTTCTTACCTATTCAGTTGCCCTGTGTCTTTTTTTTTTTAAGATTTTATTTATTTATTTGTCAGAGACAGAGAGAGAGAGAGAGCACAAGCAGGGGAAGAGGCAGCGGGAGAGGGAGAAGCAGGCTCTCCACTGAGCAGGGAGCCTGATGCGGGGCTCCATCCCAGGACCCTGGGATCATGACCCAAGCCGAAGGCAGTCACTTAACCAACTGAGCCACCCAGGCGCCTCTCTTTTTTTTTTTTTTTTAAGTTTTTATTTTAATTCCTGTTATCACACAGTGTTACATTAGTTTCAGGTGTATGGTATAGTAATTCAACACTTCCGTACATCACCCTGTGCTCATCACAAGTGCACTCTATAATTAAGAGTCTTTTTCTTAATCTGTCTCTTTTTTCTTTTCCTTTGCTTGTTTTGCTTCATAAATTCCACATGAGTG